TACGGGCTTCCTTTGCTCGGTAAAATGCCACTTCATTACTGATTAATGCACCATGACGGAGAACAAACTGAAGTTTAAGGAAAAGTTTTGGTGGAAGTTATAAGGAACTGTTGATGTTATCTGAGAAACAAAATAAATTTTATGTATAACTTATGATGCTGCAGAAAGATGCGGACCCATCCAAAAGAGACACAGTGGTGCTATTTTTGCAAGATATGTTGGAAGTAGTGACTCGAGATATGATGCAAAATGAAAACCGGTTAGTGGACTATACATCTATAGTTAAGAGAACTGGAAAGTTTGTTTAGTGCATATGTGAATATGTATATATTGTATCCACACAAACAAGAATAAACATGAGTGGCACCTTTCTCCAGTGAATTGGTAGAACTTGGGCATACTAACAAGGAATCCGGAAGGCAACTTTTTGCTGGTACTGACGCAAAACCTGCTATACTATTTCCTCCAGTGGCAACAGCTCAGTGGGATGAACAGGTAAAAGCTCAAAAAACTAGATATGGCTAATCTTAAGGGATACTCTGCATTCTGGAGACCATTTTCAACATTATGATTTCATTCAATGTTGTAGATAAGACGCCTTCATTTACTCTTGACGGTAAAAGAATCTGCAATGGATGTTCCAATAAACCTTGAAGCACGAAGAAGGATTGCCTTCTTCACGAATTCGTTATTCATGGATATGCCGCGAGCTCCTCGTGTCAGAAATATGCTCTCCTTCAGGTTTGTGCTCTAGTTATACATCTTGGATGATACCATGTGCTATATATATATACATTTAGTTTTTCCTTCAGTGTATGAATGGATGAAAAATATATAGTACATGTAGTTGATACTTTTGAACTATTATGAATTTCTACTGCAGAGTTTTCTTAACGCTAGAGTTTTCTTTTTGTATTACAGTGTTCTAACGCCGTACTATAGTGAAGAGACCGTCTACTCTAAGAACGACCTGGAAATGGAAAATGAAGATGGTATATCGGTTGTATACTATTTGCAGAAGATCTTCCCAGGTATGTCTTATTGATGAGGTCTTGTTGTTGGATATAGTTACTTCTCAATGCTTTTAGTAATTGATATGACCCCACCATTCCAGATGAGTGGACTAACTTCTTGGAGCGGCTTGGTTGTAAAGATGAAACTGCTGTTTTAGACAGTGAAGAAAATATATTGCAGCTTCGCCATTGGGTTTCTTTGAGGGGACAGACTTTGTTTAGAACAGGTAATTTAGACCATCCAAGCCTACTGATGTTTGCTATATGGTTTATTTGTTGCTTACCGCTTTTTGTACACTGCAGTTAGAGGAATGATGTATTACAGGCGGGCACTGAAGCTTCAGGCCTTTCTTGACATGGCTACTGAAAAAGGTGACGCGTGATAACTTGACTTTTGTTAAAGTTACACAGGTGAAATGTGCAAATATTGTCAACTGATTGTAATATGCCATTTTTACATTCTACAAACAAAATACTGAAAAAGTGTTGATCAATGTGTTAAGTATTCGTAGTTCCATATCGAGCACATGTCCAACATTCTGGAGTAAGTACTTATAACATATCTTGTGTTTACAGAAATTTTAGCAGGGTACAAAGCCATTTCAGAGCCGACTGAGGAGGACAAGAAAAGTCAGAGATCCTTGTACGCTCAGTTAGAGGCAGTGGCAGATCTCAAATTTACTTACGTTGCTACCTGTCAGAACTATGGAAATCAGAAGCGAAGTGGGGACCGCAGAGCTACGGACATCCTGAACCTGATGGTTAAGTAAGTCCCTCCTCCAACATTTATGCTCAACAGATTCCAGAAAATTCTTTTTTTTTTCATGCGTTAGTTGGTTCCCTGGTTAGTCTCATTTTTCATATACAATGCTGCAGCAATCCCTCTCTCCGTGTAGCATACATTGATGAGGTTGAGGAACGAGAAGGAGGAAAGGTGCAGAAAGTGTTCTACTCGGTGCTTATCAAGGCTGTTGAGAATCTTGATCAGGTAATTTTATCATTGAATTCTGAACAGATTAGCTAAAAACTATCTCTTGTTCGAGAATCCTCAGATTTCTAACTTTGTATCGGTTGCTCTTTAAAGGAAATATATCGGATAAAATTGCCTGGTCCAGCAAAAATAGGAGAAGGAAAGCCCGAAAATCAGAACCATGCTCTCATTTTTACAAGAGGAGAAGCTCTCCAGGCTATTGACATGAATCAGGTAAATTATTCATCCCCCAATCGGCAGTTCCCAAAACAAAAAACATTAGTACTTTTACTTACCATATTATCTACTTAACAGGACCATTACTTGGAAGAAGCGCTGAAAATGAGGAACCTGCTCGAGGAGTTCAATGAAGACCATGGAGTACGTCCACCCACTATTCTTGGTTTCAGAGAACATATTTTCACTGGCAGGTATTTGGGAAATTTGGTTAATCATTTTATTTGTTGTTCAGTTATACTACTTCCTTCTTTTTGCGAGCTGATATATACATATATGTGTGTGTTTCTCTTCGGCGTGGTACTTGCAGTGTTTCTTCTCTAGCTTGGTTTATGTCTAACCAAGAAACAAGCTTTGTGACAATCGGTCAGCGAGTCCTGGCAAGTCCTCTGAAGTATGTCATGGTGTTCCTTCTTTCATTCTACGTGA